GAAGCAAGGAAATTTGGTGCCGTACGAATTGAAGCCGAGAGATGTTGAAAGGCGTTTATTTGCTTGTGAACAGCTGCTTGAAAGGCAAAGACGGAAGGGATTTCTGCATCGCATTGTGACTGGGGACGAAAAATGGGTTCATTACGATAACCCCAAGCGCAGAAAATCATGGGGAGTTCCCGGCCATGCTTCCACGTCGACGGCCAAACCGAATATTCACGACTCCAAGGTCATGCTCTGTATTTGGTGGGACCAGCTCGGCGTAGTGTATTATGAGCTGTTAAAACCGACTGAAACAATCACAGACGATCGGTATCGAACGCAATTGATGCGTTTAAGCAGAGCATTGAAAGACAAACGGCCGCAATACAACAAGAGACACGATAAAGTGATTTTGCAACATGACAATGGTCGATCCCATGTTGCGAAAGTGGTCAAGACATACTTGGAAACGTTGAAATGGGAAGTTCTACCCCACCCGCCGTATTCTCCAGACGTTGCTCCCTCTGACTATCACTTGTTTCGATCAATGGCACACGGCCTGGCTGACCAGCACTTTCGGTCTTATGAAGAATTAAAAGATTGGATCGATTCTTGGATTGCCTCAAAAGATGAGTTTTTTCGACGCGGAATTCGTACGCTGCCCGAAGAATGGGAGAAAGTAGTGGCCAGCGATGGATAATACTTTGAATCATAAATGTATAACCAGTTTTTTACAATAAAGCCTCGAATTTTGGAAAAAAACGACGGAAGCAAAGTTGTACACCTAATATATACTTTTTCTCTTTTCTTAAACTTTTATAAAATTTTTAAAATATATATTTTTAGTTTTCACTTTATATTATTTTCCATGCTACTTAATTCAAGTTAAATTGTACTTCGAAAATTTGCTTGCTATTGCTGAGATTCAAATCTGAGACCTTTGGTTCTTGAGTCGTTTACCTTATTTACTACGCCACTGTCACTTTGACGAAGAGACACTTTGTATTGTATACATCCCAAATAGCACATGGATGACCTATGCACGTATAGTGGATATTCTCTTTGGACATGTCGGATATCTATAAAGTATCCAGTATATGTTTCGCGAATGTCCAGTGGATATTCATAGGATAAACATTTGCAACTGCTAAGAACATCCATGGGATATCTGAAACACGTCCGTTTCTAGATACTGTGGGTATCCTATGGATGTCCATAGACTGTACAAGTATATTCTTAACTGGATATCCCAGCAAACACAAACTAACAATAATATATTATTAATGTTTTAATTTTCCACTCAACAATGTAACTGTTGTGTACAAGACATGTCATATTGTTGAATAAGAAATTATAACATTAACGTTATGTTATTAATTGTTGCGTTTTGTGTTTGCTAGCATCGTATGAAATGGAAATATTTATGAATATATTGTAATAAAAATAAAATTAATTTTGTTAATTTATTGCACATATTTGTTCTTTTATATCACATTTTATAAAATCATATTTTTAATTAGCATGAAATTCGCATATCATTATTTTTCATATGACAAACATTCATATTACGTACGTATTAAACTACATATGTCTCATCAATCTCATAAGATTATATAATATCTGATGAGGCATTATGTTATCATCACAATGTTTAATTGGAAAAAAAAGAAGGAAAAGATAACGAATAACAAAAGTAAATATATCTTGAAAAGTAATCAAATAGTGTTTCAACTCGGTAACACTGATTTCAGTTATCAATGGTATAGTAATGCATATGATGCAATTAAAATAAATCATATAATCGTCCAAATGTATTGTTGAAAACATCGTATCGCATATAATGAAATATAAATTAAAATAAAGACATGTGCGTTCTTGAAATTGCAATAATTTGTTATAAATTGCCTGCTGTGTGCGTGCGTGCGTGCGTGCGTGCGTGCGTGCGTGTGTGTGTGTGTGTGTGTGTGTGTGTGTGTGTGTGTGTGTGTGTGTGTGTATGTAAAATATCTAAACACTAGAGTATATATAAGTATATATTAATCTTCAAAAAAAGTAATTTTTTAGAATCCGACTTAGTTACATCACAGTCTTTTAGAAAACACTTTCAAACTAACCAAGATTGTTAAATTGAAAACAATTATTATAAATGACTAATGCTCGCATCTAAGTTTGCTTGGAGCAAAACAGAAGAAAGTTTGCAAATAACTTAAAGACCTTAATTATCCTGAAGGTGTTTTTTCATATTATCGTCGCGCTCTTTTGCTCTTCTGAGTCATTTTTTAATAGCTTCTTCACATTCCTTCTTCGAACAATCTGCACAGAAAAAACAGTTTTGTAGATGTAACAAAAATTTGATATACCGACCCAAATAATTTGGTTAATATGTGATTAACCAAATGTTTGGTTACTTGAACCAAAAAATTTGGTTCCTTTTATTTAGTTATTACAACCAAAATGTTTTTTTTGCCTTAAATAAAAATATATTAATGACAACCATATTTATGGTAGAGAATTTTATTCTTGTATTACAAAATAATCGCCATCAATTGATTTTACTAACGAAGTAACGTTGTACTTATTAACTGACTTACAATTACATTTTAAAGTTTTCCATTTTGTCGTAAATGAAACGCGATAAGCGTACAAATGTCTCGAAAAACTAAGTGTTTTTAAAATTTGCAAAATAAAAAATGGTTTTCTTGCTTCATTTAAGCAAATAAAATGTATAATACCATAAACGGGTAACACATCCGTTACATTTAAATTTAATACAAATCGTGGTTTAAATAAAATGCTTTGAAGTTTAATCCATGAAACAATTGTATAAGTTTTTGGTAAATATTCTTTGAACAAATCAAAATGAGGGTGAGAATATGCAGAATCTGTAGAAACACTTGGCCCGAGTGACATTTCATCAGTTATTGAAATTTCATTAAGTAATCTATAATTCAATTTTAACAGGTGTTTCAACGCAAGAGTAAATGGCAAATTTTTTCTACTAGTTATAATATGTGATTCTATCTTTGACTCTTTATGTTTCGCCTCGAAACGCATACACCAAAGATTCATTAAAGGTCTTACACGAAGCATAAGTTGTGTGTAATGCAACATATTATGATGTTTTGTTTTTAAAGTGTTTCCAAATAATCTAATGTAAATTTCATGATGTTCCGTTACCAAACATTGCAAATATTTAACTTCTTGCAATGAAAAAGATCTAGCGTTTAAAATATCAATTATCGCTCTTAGATTAAGGTATAATTCCCAATGAGAATCATTTAGAGGTACAAAATCGCCAATAATGAGACCAAAATATTTCGTAAAACGCATTATTTGAGTTGCTGAAAAACCTAAACAATACTTATTTAATTTTTCTTTTTTTAAAAAAGGAATTCGATTGCTCAATTCACTTACGCCAAAGTCAAAAGCTCCAATACGATCATTTAGATCTTGAAGTGTAAAAAGTTTTAAATTTGTAATATACTGCAATATAATTTGAGACAGATTGTACTCGCAAACTCCTTCATAAATATCATGCATGATATCAAGAGCCAAAATGTGTCCAATTGCTCTCCAAAATGTGAAAATCTTCTATTTCATTAAATACACATTCTTCATTTATTCCAGTTGTAGTAACATCATTATTTTCAACATCAAGTTTGTAATTTTCTATATTACGCAAAAGTTCAGGTTTTTCATATGTTGCACTCAGTAATTCGTTACGAGATATTTTACATACTGAACATGGGCTATTGGCCGAAAAAGATTGAACAAACCCACCTATTTCGTGACGACCAAGATTATCTGCTACAAATAAAGAACAATTTACATAAACATCAATGTTATCCTTTGTCGTGTAAACTGGATGTGTATGTAAAAATTTCAGTTCTTTAATAAGTGGTAGAAAAATCTTTCGATTTCCAAATTCTTTTCGATCACTACTGTTAAATAGTAATGCAATCTGTATATTAAGAAGATGAGATTGAGCATGTGGAGGTATACATGGCAAAGAGTAATATACAGCACCAATTTTATGAGTACCAGTTCGTGAGCCAAGTGGATCATTTACTTCAAATTCATCGTAATAAAATATAAGAGGAAT